TAAGTGGTTACTATAAGACAATAGAAAGATCAAGGGGAAACGATTGAGGTTGACAGGTTCTAAAAAGTGTGGATATCTATTTCTATTAAGGGGGAAAAAATTATCTACAAATGATGAGTGGATGTTGCATGTCTTATGCGGAGTGCACAATCATCCGCTTGTTGAACATCTTGAAGGGCACTCATTTACTGACAAATTATCTAAGGAGGAAACATCATTGTTAGTTGACATGTCACAAAGTATGGTGCGACCAAAAGAGATATTGGTTACATTGAAACGAAGGAATGCCTTTAATACAACAACAATGAAGACAATCTACAACGCACGTCATTGATATTGAGCAATACAAAGGGCTGGAAGATCACATATGCAACAATTATTGGGACAATTATTGATTCATAATTATGTTGAGTGACATCGATGTAATGATAGAGAGATGGTGACTGACTTGTTTTGGGCATACCTGGTTAGTTTGGAGTTGTTATGTGCATTTCCACATGAATAATTTTATGGATACTTTTTATGTATGATTTTATGGATGCGTGTTTGATTTATGATTTTTTTTATTGATGCTTGAAGGAAAAAGTAAATATTTCAATATACAACGACAGGGGGCTAGACAATTCTATTGTAGTTTGGCAACATGACACTAGAGTAATTTAATTTGTATAGCAATGTGTCACTGAACAGGTACTTCACAAGTGGCCCAAATTAATTTCTTGTTATCATCCAATTGGACAGCAACATAATGTTGGGGAAAAAATATTATCCGGTAACATGGCACTGTTAATTAGTGTTATATTACCGAACATGCCCACCACAAATTCAAAAATCATTGTTTTGAAGAAAATGGCTCTGTAAATCTATAGCATCAAAATGCTGGAGAGATCTATTTTTTCCGGCAGCATAACACTAGAATAATGTAAATTGTTTAACAGCGTGTTACCAAACAAGCACTTCACTGTGGGCTCCAATGCCTTTGTTGTGAAGCAAATTGAAATTATCCAATTGAACGGAAACATAATGCTGGGAAAAAATAGTTTGTTTGGTAACACAACACTAGAGTAGTTCAGATTCATTAGCATTGTATTATCGAACAAGCCCAACACAAATTAGATCATTGTTTTGAAGAAAGTGTCTCTGTAATTGTATAGTAACAAAATGCTAGAGAGATCTATTTTTGTCGGCAATATAACACCGGAATAATGAAAATTGTTCAACAGTGTACCACTAAACTAGCCTGTACGCTGAAAAAACAATGTTACTTTCAGAAAATGGCACCATATCACTCCAAAATACTTTAATATCATTACAATGCATTACAAACAACAACAAATCCATATGTTCACTATAATGATTTTTCATTAAAATCATAATGTAAATATTGAATACAAAATAGATATGAAATTGTTTAAATTTCATACAAAAATATAACACTTCATTACTTGTCCAACCAAACATTCAATTTATATTTCATCAAAGACATCCACAAAAACTATGCCATTAGGAGAAAGTATATCCTAAACTATGTACGGGCTATACAATTACAAAAACTATGCCATAAAAAAAAAACTAGATCTCAACTCTCATGTACGGTCAACACAAAAGTATATCTCAAATTCTATACGGGTTAGACATTCACAAAAATTATGCCATCAAACAAAAAGTAGATTCCAACTCTCATGTATGATCAATATATTCACATAACTATGACATCAAAAAAAAAAAACTAGATCCCAATCCTCATGTACGGTCCATCATATGACGTTTACGGTAGTAGACTTGATGCTCTGTACGTGTCGATATAGATCCCCCGCTCTGTCCATCAAGAACTTGCAGCATCCTACCAATAGTTTCATACAGCATCCTACCAATGGTCTCATAGATAAAATGCAATTTAAAAAATAAAAAATAAAAAAAATTGAATGTGCAAACGTATAAAAAAAGAAAAAAAAAAATCTAATTGTAGGTATGAACTCTATTTCCCTGGCCAAAACGTTGTCATCATTCATTAGATTATTAGAAGTACACAAAAGCAAGATAATAAATATATTAGATTCAGATACGTATAACATGTGTGCATAGCTAGATGAGATTTCTGGTTAAAGAGCAATTGTACAACATTTTGTAAAACCATCTAAGTGTATGGATTCATTTTTAGACGAAGGTGAAACTCATTATCTTGGGTTATGCTTGTTTATTGTTATAAAAAAAGTTTATTATACTCAAAATTGTATGAAATTCTTTTTGTTTACGTTTTGTATTAAAAGTTGACACATAACAAATTGCCATGTACCATTGTGGATCTCAATTTTTTTTCCTAATTTAATTTTATAATCTTTTCTCTTGTAATGGAATTATTTTTAATTACATCTTTTTAAGTCTGTTTTATTGTAATGATTTTGTATGTATTCTAATTTAATTGTTATTAGATATATAACTAAAGTACTAGCTGCTTTTAAAGTTCTCTCTCTCTCTCTCTCTATATATATATATATAAGTATTATTCACAAAAGTGCCAAAAAGGGCACCACCTTAGTACATAGGCTGAACATGACAAGCCTAAATCCGATTTCTAAAACTAAGCTGACCTATGAAAAATGACCTGAAAGCCAAAAATAAAAAGTATACATCAAAGTTGATTTTAATCTATGTGGAGGCTATACAACATCACCAATTGTCTATTGCTTCCTCTCCCTTGATATGTACCACCACATCACACACACATAGGAGCTATCATTGAAGCCTTCCTCATTGTTCTAATTCCTACAGCTTGTAACCCAAGATTCATACAACGAAATAACTAAAGCCAACATGACCCAATGGGCACAAAAATAGAAAATAATGAGCTCTGTAACTCTCACGCTACATTACGATTGATAAGAAGGTGATCCATGTATTATTCTGCTCATCAATACATGCAACTCAATTTTGGTAACGTCTTAAGCCTGTTACCTAAATGATTAGTAGTGAGGATAAAATCCAAGGCTATTGTCCAAATAAAAAAAAGCCACCTTAGACAAAGCCCCTAATTTCTAAATTTTAAATTTTTTTCAAGGAAAATATTTGTTTGTGCTAATGCCAAGAATATCATGGTAGGATTTGAATGAGAATTTTCCATTATTATCTTCCCACATCATCCTATCCTTATTTTGTCAAATCACTTCCACCGTGTATAGGACATAAAAAAACTCATTAACTACTTTTTACTACTATGCTTCACAATCCAAAGCTAAAAATTAAAAGCCTCCACAACCCAAAAGTAATGGGAATATGGTCCAAGATTGAGCATGGATAAAGATGTTGAAGAACAGGGAGAGAAATGCTCTTCCTAATCCAAAGAGATAAAATTAAAAAAAAAGAAAAAAAGGTTAATCCTTGAAAGGGTATATATCTCTCTATTATTACAGAACATTTATCTTGCCCCATCTAAAGGTACATCCATCAACTCAAGAACATCTATGAAATCCAAGAACTCACTCATAGTCGTGGAAATGTGTGTGAAACTCCACGTCCCTCAAATGGGTATGTATCTAACAACATTAACATGTCTTCCAATGCGCCATGGTTTCTCCCATCTATCATTAGCCTACAATAGATCCTTTAAGAGATCCTTTACGTGAGCATACAAAATATTATTAGTGTTACTACATATTTTTTTTCTCAATATATTTGGGAGTCCCTAACTCTCATCTCAAGTTTAGGTTCCTCAATTAGAAAGGTCTTTTAAGAAAAACTTCACACAGATTTACAAATTAGTGATAGATTATTATTATTTTTTAATTTTTTTGAGGGGAGAAGTGTCAATTGGTGATAGTTTTTTAATAGTTCAATATTTTGAATTTTGTATTATCATTTTGATCCAATTAATCTTAGGAATAAATCAATGAAAAATAGAACCAACAATAAAATAGATCTTGCTCTATATAAAGTTCGTAGACCTAGGTAAAGTTTCATGAAAAGCAAATAATACATTTGCCTACAGCAACCAAAAAAAGTAAATAAGAACTGATTTATAGTTGGTTGGATTTTGTTAAGGAAAAACTGTAATTGACCTTCAAAAAGGAGGTTTCACCATTCAAAACCACATGCAAAATAGAGAAAAAAAAATCTGACAAAACAGAAAACAAAAATCTAAATTTCAACATTCAAAACTAGCACAAAAAATCACAAACCTACTTAAATTTGAAGATCAAAACCACCAAAACTATGTTGGGAATGTGTTATTCTTTGTTTATTCGTAAAAAATGATGATACAAATGATAGAGATACATATATATGTCTGTCAATATAGAAAGAGAAATAAAAGTTTCTCACTTATCTTTGGTAAATGAAAAGAATGAGTTCAATCGTTTTAGCCAGTAACACAGACCATAACGCCTTTCAAATTCTTTCTTGCCTTCCAAACAACTCGTCTTCTCTGCGTCGGAATCCCTTATCTTCCATGCTTTCTCCTTCTCTATTTTTCCTCAAAAAATTGGTGATGTAAAGAGATGAAATAGTTAATTTATGATTAGTTTTGATAATATATTCAGGATGTAATGAGAATTACATTTTTTTTTAGTGAGGTAATGAAATGAAAAGTATAAAAAGATTAAATAGTGGTGTAAATAAAATCACTCATAAAAAAATAAAAAATAAAATTGAGATTCGATGAAATTTTCGTATGCTCTTAGGGCATGTTTGATTGGGTGGATTAGAGTGTGGGATTAGGATTATTAATCCGTTGGCCCAATTATCCTATATTTGTTTTAACATTTTTCTTATAAAAAAATAAAAAATAAAATTGAGATTCGATCAATGATCTCCATTCCATCAAATTTTCGTATGCTCTTAACTCAAACATATAAAACAAAGCTAAAATGTCATCAACTTGTCTTTACTTTTGTCCCTAGACACATACCCCCTGTTTGGTTAGAGATTATTTGATTATTTTACAAACGCGGCATAATCGCTGTACATCACTTGGGGTTAAACAAACAAATGCTCCAATCTTTGACATCGAACACTCACTGAGTCTGAGACTCCTGTATCAAAAAAAAACACTCACCGAGAGTCAGTAGTCCCCAAATTCTTGCTCAAGCTCAGATCAACGCAGACCCCAAATTCATACTCTTTGTCTCTCCTCCAAAAAAATGAAAACTCCCTACCCAAAACCCATAACCCCAGCCGAAACTCGCATTGGCTGGATTGGCATAGGCGTCATGGGCTCAGTCATGGCCTCTCGCCTCCTCTCCGCCGGCTACTCCCTCACCATCTACGCCCGCTCTCCGTCCAAATCCCTCCACCTCCAATCCCAAGGTGCCCATCTCGCCGATTCCCCTTCCTCCCTCGCCAATTCCACCGACGTTGTCTTCACCATGCTCGGACACCCATCAGATGTTCGACAAATTGTCTTAGAGAACCCCACCTCCGTTCTCGCCGGCCTCAACCCCGGCGGAGTCGTAGTTGACCACACCAGCAGCCACCCAACACTTGCCAAACGGATTTTCACTGCTGCCCGCGAAAAGGGTTGTTGGGCCGTGGACGCTCCGGTGTCTGGTGGTGATATTGGGGCCAGGGATGGGAAATTGGCTATATTGGCAGGCGGTGACAGTGACGTTGTGAAGTGGTTATCGCCTTTGTTTGATGTTTTGGGGAGGGGGACTTATGTGGGTGGTGCTGGGTTGGGGCAAAGTTGCAAGATTGCTAATCAGATTACCGTTGGGGCGAATTTGGTTGGGTTGAGTGAAGGGTTGGTGTTTGCAGAGCGGGCGGGGTTGGATGTCAGGAAGTTTTTGGAAGCGGTGAGAGGAGGGGCAGCAGGGTCGATGGTGATGGAGCTGTTTGGGGAAAGGATGATTGAGAGGGACTTTAGGCCTGGTGGGTTTGCTGAGTATATGGTGAAGGATTTGGGGATGGGTGTGGATGTTGTGGAAGAGGAGGGTGACGTGGTTGTATTGCCTGGAGCTGCATTGTGTAAACAGTTGTTTTCAGGGATGGTGGCTAATGGAGATGGAAAGCTTGGCACTCAAGGTCTTGTTACTGTCATAGAGAGGATCAATGGCAAGTAAGACCATCTCTTTCGATTATCTATTTACTTGGTGAGATTGTTGTATAAGCTTATTCTGTTGCTTTAGAGCCATTTAAAGCACCAATTTGGTCAATGTTACCTTAAATTCCCTCGCTACGACAAAAGCTTATGTGAAATGTAGTTTTAACTTACGACGTTGCTGTGTTGAATAAAGGAGCAGGAGAGGTGTGCTTTAGTACACCCTTTTCCCCCTCTTTTTGTTTGGTCTAGCTGTTGGGAGTTGAATTGCTATTAAGTCCAATATGTTGGGTGCTATGAATTTGAGCTCAAAGATGTTGTAAAGAATGAAAACAGTGTATTTATGCATTTTGCTTGTTGAACTTCTTTATCATATTTCAAGTTGTGTTAAGTGCTTATGTGTGTATATATGTATTTCCATGTACAAATAATAGAAAATAACGGAAGGTTATTCAAAAACAGTGTTCCCATGTTTGTGTGCTAGCAATTGAAAGTTCAATGCATTTATGTTCGAATCATTGGTTTGTTTGTTTGCTGACCTAAAGAATATAGCAAATACATTCGTGGCTGAATGAAAATTTTAGAATACACAAGGTTTTTTCATCAAACATTTGGATTGCTACGTATGGTTGTTGGTTCTTACAGCATTGTATACTCGCATTAGTCGGGTTGGGGACATATATGCTGCCCTTATTTTTTGCAATTGTAAGTATGAAGAAGAGAGTGATCAGTAGACAGAAGAGTAAGAGGAGCTTATAAGATCATCAGAGGTCTTAACGACAAAACATGTACCCACTTTGTGTTAATGGAATAGGGGAAGAAAAGTTCCCTTTCCGTTCTAAAATGAACTGTTTTGATGACCTTGTTTTTTTGGCTTAGAGATGAGTTTCCTTTTTCTTTATCCTCCTCTGTTAAAATTTATGGAGGGTTGTACACCCTCGTAGATATATTATATATAGGAGGCTTTTTCTGTTCAGTTTTTGTGTTAGTTTTTGCTTACATGGTGTGTTATACATCATGTATACAGGTTGTGTTCCTTTTTGGCATTTTAAATGAAATATTTTGATTTTTCAAAAAGAAAAGAAAAAAAGAAAAGATAGCTACACAATTCCGAGAAGGAACAATAAAATTAGCAGGGGAAGGGTGGGTAGTTCCTAACAGAGGGAGAAGAAGAGGAAGAAGGAAGAAGTGACTCAGACATGTCCAGATATTCTGAAATAAAAGATGCAAAAGAGAAAGCTGATGTCCTGGAGAAATATCAACCAATTAGTAAGACAGATCAAAGATGCATGATTTGAAGATTACTTCTAAAGTTCCTACAAAAGAGAGATAGAGTTAACTAGGATGGAATCCAATATCTGAAAGTAGTATGCCCCAAAAAAGACGTGATTCCTATAGTAGAACCAAACCAAACCAAACTGACCTCAAATGCTCACAACGCAAAAATCGATGATCCAAAGTTTCAGAGCGAGAAACACAGAAGGACATAAATCAACCACCAAGCAATTCCATTTAATGAGAAGAGGGCAAGGGCCGAAGGGTAATCTGTTAATACAGACCTGTGGAAGAGCTCTATATCTTAAAAGAAATGGGGGAACCAAATTTTATGCCTGGGAAATGAAGAGGAGGAATCAAAAAGAGCAGAAGAAAGAAAAAAACGCCTAAGAAGAAGAAGGATTGTAAACACGGGTTATAAAACTGACATTATGGACAAGACAAGAAAGAAGGGAAAAAACAGATTTTGCTGAGAATTGTCCCAAGCCTGTGTAAAGCCAATAAAGCCTGTTTGGAAAATCCCAACTGAAAATTGGGATGGCTAGAATTAGATGAGTAATTAGCCTGTCCCTGACCTTTGAAGACTTACTTAAATGAGAATCAACATCAGGAATACGGGAAGAAGACGAAAAAATTAGAATAGAGCTTAAGAAGGGGTTGGGTGGGAAGCTGAATATCATGCCAAATGGAAATGCTCTGACCAGAGCCAACTTGCCATCTCATATCCAAATTAAGCACCTCTCGCCTAAGTGGCGGAGGGGTGCTGGCCACCAGGGGATCTGCCCCCTCCCCGCCAATTTTTTTTTTTGAAAAAGCCCACTTCTCCACATGATATGAAATATTCAGTAATTGACCTCTTCAAAAAGTAATAATAATAATTCCACTCACTGTGGCCCCTCCAATTTTATTTTATTATTGTTTCATTCACTATGGTTCCCTAATTCAACAATATGATAGCTTGACTCATCTTGTCTTGTCTTGTTCGTATAGAATGCTTCTCCAACACCATGAACTAGAAGAAGATATTATGACTGAAAAGAATGTAGAAGAACAATATTTAGCTTTGAACAATTGTGACTTTGAATGCTCTGTGAAATCATTGGATATTCATTGCGATTGTGTGTATGATAAACTCAACCATGGCACAAATTGTAGTAGTATTGTGACCAGAAAGGCCAATCAGATTAGTAAACTGCTACTTGGTCAGTCCCTTCTCTGGTTTGATTGTTTGATAAGAATGTTTTTTTTGATAGAGAACTTGGTAAAGCATTTGCATACCTCTCATCCTGACTTCTAAGTGCCATGGTGTGTGGAGCGTTTTGTTATGCCATTTACATTTATTAGAGATGTCAAAACTTGATAAAAGGCCTGAAGAATTATGTGAAATGCTGTTTGATGCTACTTGCTGGACCGCCTATTAACACATGTTGGCAGGACCCATAAGCAAGGAGGGCATATGAGGAGCGGCCAATCCATTAGGCGAGTTAGATAACTGGCTAAGGTCCCTATAGACACTCCATTTTTGACGGCCTTTACGACTTGGATGTCATTGCTTGGACACCCAATAATGAGTCAATATGCTTGTCAAGTGCTCGAAGTCCTCAGCGGAATGTCACAGCTTTGAACCTTTCAAAACCTACACTTCTGTTGCCTTGTTTTGGACTAAATCCAGTGATCTTCAAGCCTGCAACCTCTGGTGGCCTGCCGGCCACTTCTATGGGTTGCTGGCCACTTCTTCTGCCTGCTGGCCACTGATGTGTCCTACCGGCTACCAATGTCTTTTGCAGGTATTTTGTGACAGCTGTGCCAGCTGTTTGCACAGATGCTTGCATCTGCTTTCATGTATATGGTTGGATGTTTCTGAGGGAGGTTCATGTTTTTCTATATATAGAGGACCTCCCTTTCATATTTTGAGGTTAGAAAAATTTTGGAGCAAAACTTTTCCTCTCTCTACAATTCTTTCTCTCTCTTGCAAATTTTTTCACCTTTGCCTATGCACTCTCCACCTTTGCCTATACACTCTTAACCAAACCTCTCCATCTTTGAGTTTAGGTATCTTTGAGTCTTGTTTGAGCTCTTGAGGGTGTGTTTGCCTTGTTTTATTCCCTAGAATTGGTTCCCCTTTTCAAAGGTATAAAGTTTTATCTCTTTACTTGCTTTATCTACTCTTTTTCCTACAATTTTCCAACTGTTTTTGAGTTGTAAAAACTCTGTATTTTTGGGCTGAAACTTGGGTTTTAAGGCCAATAAAGGTTGAGAGATGGTTCACCTTTCTTTGCATCTTGCTCTTAAGGCCTTTATCCTTGTGTTTTCCACCCTTACACTATCTTTTTTTGAGCTTTTGAACACTGTTTTTCAGAGTTATTGCAGTCAAAGTTTTTAAAGGCGAATGCGTACTTTAAGGCGTTTTACCTCTCATGAGGCGAGGCGTAAGCCTCAAGGCGTTGAGGCGTAAGCATTTCAAATTTCAAATTTTAATATTTACTGAATAAATTAAATATTTTTAAATAGTTAAAAAAATAAAAACAAAATTAAATATAAATATGTAAATACTTTTCGCTTTAATGCGTTGAACATTTTACTGCATAGAATGAAGTTTTCTTTCACTGAAAGAGAAATCGATATTCTTAACTTCAGTGATTGAGCTTCTCACTTGACCATTAACTGTGTTTTTCTTGATTGACCATTTACTTAATTTTTCCTGTAGAATATAGTTGTAAAAATGGATTCTTTTTAATTTTTTATGTTTAAACAATCTAATAGACTAAGTTTAACAAATGCCCAAGGCAACTTCTGTATGTGCATACTCCTCACATGCTTATGCGCAAAAAGTGTAAAAAGCGCACTTAAGGCGCATGTCTCAAACTATGATGCTCAAGCCTTTGGGGAGTAATGCCTAAAAATCAAAGCCTTGATGCGTTTTACCTTAGCCTCGAGGCGAGCATCGAGACGAGCCTCAAGTAAGCCTTTTAAAACTCTGATTGCAGTAGCTAAATCATGGTTTGAAGTCCAAAATTGGAGGGATTAGCCTCCCTTCCTTGTGTTTTGTTTACTAGCCTAGCATGATCCATGTTTTAGCTTATTATTTTAGCTATTTTTGTCTTAATTCCAACATGTTTTAGGACTTATTTAGGGCTGTTTTTAAGTGTTTGTTGCATTTGAGTTTTGTTTTGCATGCTTGTAGTGTAATTGTCCTTATGAGTTTGGTGTTTTAGGCCTTACACACCATCTTATTTGAGTTAATAGTGTTTATTTATGGCTTTTCATATTTGTGATCACTCTTAATCACCTCTGCAACCTCCCTCATTTCTTGACTTTTGTTTTGCTTTGAAAATGGTTTCAAACTACTTGTTTGTTTAAACATGAGATTGAGATGTCATGCTTAATGGCTTAATCCCTTTGGAGGTTCATTATCAACGGTATGATGTCTCTTTCATGCCTAAAACAACACTTGGTTTGAACCCTATTTCCATTAGAGGACTTAAATTCACCTGAGGACTCAATTGATTAAAGAATGGATGGTAATCTAAAATGAAATAATAAAATTGAGGCTAAAAAGGTTCAATATAATAACTTGGTTAGGGTTCAATCGGACGTTAATTGAACCATTGGGTCTTGAGTCGTTTCATACTCATTAGTGATGAAAACGGTTCAAAATTCATTGTCAACTACTTCCTTTGATCTTTCATGATAGGGAGGTGGTTTTAAGAGTCTTGTTTTATTGCATTCATTGAACTTGTACACTTGATTTATAAGCCATCATGCAATGAAATTGCATCCATTGATGGTTTTTGAATTAAATTTACTACTCCTTTGAGCTGTTCAAATGATAAGGAGGGGTAAATTGTGCAAACAAACCCTTGAGAATACACTGTCTCTGCTCTATTTGTTCTCTGTTGCAGCAGGACAACCCAGTCAGCAGTAGCCGACAGTCCATCATCAATGGACGGTAGGCCCCTCTGCTGGCCACCAGTGCAAAATCAAGTAGTGTCCATTTAAAGCAGAACAAAGTTGGTCTGGAGGTGAAAATCAGTGCAAGTATTCTGCTGTGCAACATAGGCATTCAGTAGCAGAAACAGTGAATTTTTCATGTGGAAACTGCATTCATGCATGAGC